TACATTTAAAATTCTTCTAAGCGTATAAAAACCACACAAAAATCCACAAAAAGCTGGCCAAAGTATTATTATCATCATTTTTTTTTTTGTATGTTTTTTTATTATGTATTTAGAGAAGACCTTAAAAAAAAGTTTCACCAAACAAACAGAAAGTCGCGAAAGCTTAAGACACCAATGAGGATGGGGGGAGGGCCTACAAACAGCAGCAACATTAGGGTTACCTTACCCCGAAATGGAAACGCAAAAAAGGTTTGTGGCTAAGAGAGAAACAACGAGAAAAACAGCTAATGAAAAGCGTTTAAGGGAAAAGGGTTTTTGGATCGTCCCCTGCCCCCCTACAAAATGTCCCGTTGCGCAACAACAACACCAACAAACCGGCCAAACAAGTGTGCGTGTGTGTTTGTGTGATATTCGAATAAGAACAGCCAGGTTCAAGCTCAAGGAGAGACAGAGAGAGGGAGAGAGCGCGCAACTTCTATGAAACTAAAACCAGACAGCAACAGGCGGGTGAGAGTGAGAGGAAAGGGGGGCACCCAACCAATCTGTGTGTATGTTTTGCTGCACTGTGAGCCGCTCTTTACGCATGCCTCTCTCGCTTGCTCTCCCTTCTTCGGCAGGTGTCTGCCCAAGTATGAGTGTGTATGAGAGAGTGTGCTCTGTCGGTGTGTGTGCATGTTAGTACCGTTCTAGCCAACGAAACCTGAAGCGTAGCTATAATTTTTTGGTCAGAGAAGAGGCTTAAGGCAATAAAAAGAAAAAAATGCATGCAGCCACGTCGCGTCGGAGAAGATACTAAAATCAATGGTAATTAAAATGATGATGCTCCATTCTTTTAGCTTGACCCTTGTCATTTTCTCTTGCTGGGTTTTCTAGCCAACACTCACTCACATACACATACACATAGACGACTTAGGTCTGTCTTGCAGGGTTAATGCACTCTTTTTTTTCTTTCCGTAAACACTCTCTGCTGCCTGTTTCGCCTAGAATTTTGCACTCTTTTTCTTCGGAAGGTAACATCTAAATGTATTGTTGCATTAATTAGCACTTTGGCCACTCGGGTTAAGCCAGTTTCGAAGCGGGGTATGATATTCTTTTCAAAAACAGGTTACATAAATAGGTCACGCACCAACAATCGCAGGAAAAGTGCAGCGCGCCGATTGTTCTTCTATTATCCACTGCCTCAGAGCAACAGGTTAATTATGTTCACTTGGTTATTAAACATTTTCAGGCTTTTGTTTATTAATCATTTCTCTTTACTCTGCGAACTTACGCCAAGAAGAACCGCCGGACAGAAAACACGACCGATCGCGAACCGAATTCGTTAAATTTTAACAGGTACGTACGGCTCTCGTTGTTGTCCACAAATTAGCAGCCCGAACAGTCAGAACAGCTGGGATTATTAGGCCACTAAAGCCCCCCTTATTTAAACCGGTGAAAAACTTGAGTTAAACCACGATAAACAATACTAATAATCATTTTTCTTGTAGACTCATCATATCCTTTGTTTTTACTTAAAAGAAAAACCACGATAATTTTCACCTGAACTGAGATACAATTCTTCAAGCTTCATCATATTCGTGGAGTGTATTGTAGCCGACATGGGTTAATCGTTTTTTGTCCATGTTTGCAAACTATATTCCTCGGTTTTGATATTTCGTGGAATATTACCATCTAGATATAACCCTCAGCCCTGCCCGCATAATTTTATTCGGTTAAAGAATCAATTTTCTACTTGACTGGTTTATTTTAAATACTGGCTTCTATTGGATTTTGTCAAAAAAGAGGTTTTAGCGAAAAAGGTCAAACCAAATATACGAAAGCGAGTAATCGTTCCTATTGTTCAATTTTGATATTCCGTTGAATAATACTGACTAACTAAGACCCTCAGCAATACCCACATAGTTTCATCCCATTGATGAATAAATTTTCTAAAAGATTAACTACTTTTAAGTTCTCCCATTTATTGTATTTTGACTAAAACAGGGTTTAAACAAAAAAATCTATAAAAACGTACTTTTGTATATGGTAACTTCACAGTAGCTACATATTTGTTACATACATACAGATTTAGGTAAAAACGTAAGCGTGATGTAATGCAACGGAAGTGTCTACGGACAGTATTTAACGGTTACCTTGCAGCTGAGTCAGTCCAAGAAATTTCAGTATCAAAATACTTTTGCGTGTTTCAGACCACAATAATAATAATAATACAATAAGAAAATGTACGTCTTGAGTTTTCCTTTATTAGTTCTACACCTCGTTGTGCTAGCACCCCCTGCCGACGGAATACACCAACATACATGCCGATAGTCAAGGTAGATATTTTGTGGTATCAAAAATTAGACGAGTACTGTACCCGCAACAACAAAATGCACGATTATTATCAGACCCTCCCCCCACCCCATCAACCCATTATCACCGGCACTCGAGCAGACAGAATTGATTTTATTTTATCAATAGTTTATTTTTATTGAAATTTCCTCGCTAGGTGGTCAGTGAATGTGAATGCGCTTTCTCAAGCGGGCAAATACAAAAAAGTAGTCGTAGCTTTACAATGTAATAATTATATGTGGGGTTACTTTTTGGAGTCATAGGGGGCTACAAGGTTGCGGGTTGCAGGGGGGACTTAGCAGAATTTCCAGCGATTGCCGCACTCGTTGCACATGACAAAAGTGGTCATGGGCTCGTCGGCGGATCGCGTCTGCAGCTGGTTGTAGGTGCAGTTGCGCTTCTTGCATTTTCCGCACTTTAGGAGATCTGTCTTGGTGCCCTGTACGGTGGCCAGCTGTGCATCGTTGATGGCCTCCTTGACGAACTTCTCGCGCAGTTTCTTCATCTCGTCGCTGGCCATCTCCTCGGGAGTCATTTTGGCTAGCTGCTTGGCAGAGACGGCGCCGCACATGAAGTTGCCGCGCAGACCCGGATTTTTTGGGTCCTTCAGATTGGCCACACGCGATCTAATGCGATTCTTGTACTTCATGTCCGTATTCTTGAACTCCGAATAAATGGCATCCTCTAGTTCGGCGGCCATTTCCTCGGGCTCGGCACAACCTTCGGGCACCTCACCCATCTTCAGAGCGGTGGTCAGCATTTCGCGGCACTTCAAGCGCACGGCATCCGTCATGCCGCCGGAGGGGAAGGAGGTCTGAGACGACGAGACCTTCTTCTCCTCGCGCTTGTCCCTCGAGGAGGAGCTGCTGCTACTGCTAGACTTCTCCTTGCTGGCGGACTTGCTGGAACTCGACGACTTGGAGGCACTACTGTTCGAGCTGTCCTTGCCGGCGGCAGTGCTGTTGTTGGGAGTGGTTGGGGCCGGGCTGGCCAGAAAGCGTTTCCAATTCTTGATCAGGGTTTTGGCCAGGGCAATCACCTCGTCGTCCTTGCTGCTTTTTCGCAGCTCATTGACGGTCATGCCGATGCGCGTTTTGGTCAGAATCTCCAAGTTGATGTTCAACGTTTGCAGGGCCTTCAGCAAATCCAAAGCCTGTTCCTGTCCCTGCAAATGGGGCGGTGGAACAAAAACTAACACAACTATTCAATAGATTGGGGGCCTATACTTACTGAGCCATCGCTCGACGTTGATATCTTGCTCATCTTCTTCTGAATCCGAAAGACTTCATCCTCCACACTCATTTTGGCCGCCAGAAACTGTAGCGCATATGACAGAACAGAGGTTAGGTTAACGGCGTTCCTTCGCTGGGTGCAATTTGTTTCAACAATTCAACAGCAATTTTCTTTTAAACGAGGAATTAACCTTTTTCCCTCCAATAAAAGTTGTTTACCTGCTTTTTTTCTTTATGTATTAGAGCTGGAGAAACATCTATATTAATATCGATGTCGCTATAGACATCGATGTTTTTTTTTCTCAAGCATGGCAACTACACAGGGATGCAATTTTCACAGAGGCACCTGACGGTCAAGAAATACGAGTATAGCCCTGAAATATACTAAAATGTGTATAGAATTTACATCAGGGAGACAGTTTACGGTATTTTTTGAAGACTTTTCGGTATTTTTAGGTATTTTTTTAACAGTAATGAGTCTCATTCCATGCATAAAAGTTGCGGCAAAATTAAATTTGTATGAACCCTTAAAAGCCCGCAACATGGGCAACATTCTGCATACTCTAGGGAAGAAGGATATTATAGAAGTGCGGAAATGTTTGCCATCCTAGGCTCTAATTAATGTAGAAACAATAAAAGCAAGGTCTAAAAACTGGCCAATCTTGTAGACAATTTATGTGGGCATGGCTGAGGGTTTTAGTAAAATCCAATAAAAGCAAGTATTAAGAATAATTCAGTTAAGTATAAAAATGATTAATCAATCGTATAAAACTATGTGGGCATGGTTAAATGTTCTATATAGCTAGTAATATATTACGGAATATAAAAATCCAGGAATATAAAACTTGAATTTGTCAGTATATTTACGGTAAATTTTTAAAAGTAGACGGTATATTTTGGAGGGTCGGACGGTATATTTTAACGATAAGTGTGACCGTGGACACTGGTTGTGATATACCTATATACAAAATGGCCGACAATGCGCCGATATTTAAACTTCTGCGTTTCACGTTTCTCCCATCATTCGTAGTGCGTGCTTTAATCCAATAGATCATAATTAAAAGTAATAACCTTGCAAACATACAACAGGTGAGTTTTCCACAACCGAGAAGTTTTGGAATTGAATGCAACAATTGCAACAAGAAAACACACATGCTTTATAGTGGAATTTTTGCAAACTGTGAAGTTAGCCAATTACAATGCCTCTAAATGTTTAATTCATAAATGTACATATGGTGTAAAGTGTATTCAATTAATACGCCGTGAGACTCCCATTAAAGAATCACCAAGCATCTTTTCATGCCTTTTCAACCATTTTCGCATATCGTCAGTTTTCGCTTTACCGTTCTGTTCTATTCACCGCAAGTTTCAGGGCTGTCGAAGAGCAAATTTATGGTTTTCTGCGCAGATTTCTTTCGGGTCTTTCTATTCTGTAAACCAACCTGCACGGATGCGCAGCGTTAGAAAAAAAATAACCAAAGAATAAAGGTAGCAAAAGTGAACAAAGTAAGTTGGCAGCCGTTTGCGCAACGGCTCCTGTTTGTGTTCTTTTGTAAGCAAATGCGTGTTTTTTTATGTTCATATATTTAGAGCTGAGATAAGATTAACAACTACCAGAAAAAAACGTGAATTCTGGAAATAGGGGCAAAGCATTTCTTCGAAAATGCAGACGCGTGTCATTCGGTGTGTGTGTGCGTGCCTAAAACTGGCGCTTTCTTGCATTTTTTTTACCCCTCAACCCTTTGATGGCTGATTAATACATTCTAAAATCTCGGAAAATATTCTTCGTTTCGCGTTTCTCTCATCCTTCCCTTTCCGTTTATGACGTCTTTCAGATTGTGTGTGCCGCAAAAAAATGTACTAAAAGGTTAACGGTTTGCAATGCCTTTTAATGTTTAATTTATATTTATAAATAATAGTTTAATAATAAATAATAATGTTCAATAATTCCTACGTGCAAACCCCCATTTAAGATTCGAAAAACCAAGCGCTTTTTCATTCCTTTTCAATCCATCACCTATCGTCCGTTTTCACTATGACTGCACAGCGTCGCCCCTGTCCATGTGTGTGCGCTCTCTTGCACGTATTTCGTGTGCCTTCGTATGTGTGCTTGGCTTTCACGATGGTCGTTTCTTCCAGAACCTTCTATCCGTTCCCCGTCCTTTAACCGATGGTTTGAAATAGTACCTTTTTTGTGTGTTTTTCTTTATTTTTATCAAATAATTTTCTTTGTTTTATGTTTAAACGAGTTTCTCAACACTGTTGCGGTTGAATGGTTTTGTTTGTTTCTTTCTTTGGGTCAAAATACAATACAATATTTCAAAAATGTTCGTATATTTTGTTCTTCTAAGTGGTTTATTCCCTATTTTCTTTGTATTTTGTTTTGCTGTCGTAAAATTTGTTGTTTCTTTTCGCAATTGTTGTATCCTATCATATGAATATACGTTTTTTTTTTTTTATTAATTTATACAATTTCTAATTGTAAAAGCAAACAATCTTACAGGGGATCATACAATCGCTTTTTGCGTGTTTAGGATGGTTTTTATACTCTGCCTTGCATTGGGACCTTTTTAGGGAAAGCGTTCTTCCCCGTAAATCTACTTATTAAATGTTTATATTTGTTCCAATAGTTAATTAGAATATTGTTTTATTTATTGTTTTTGTGTGTTTTTTTTTCATAATTCTTAAAGTTATGTTTTTTTTTCAGTATGCGGTTTCAGTTTTTTCCTTTTTTTTTTTGTTTGTTCTATAATTAAAAGTAGTATATATGATGCATAATTAATTTGCTTTATAATTATTAAATTTAAATGTATAATTATAGAATTTGCATCGAGAAACACAATTACAGGGGCTTTAACAGTTGCTATTCTTTTGGTTTTTTGTTTTTGTTTTCGAACTACAGCTTTTAATATTTTTCCATTTTGTTGTTTCCTTTATTTTAAATAAAATTGTAACATGGTAAATAATAAAAAAGGTGTACAGTTTTCCCTCGTGAAAATTGTATTTGTTTTTAATTGAACAAAACAAATCGTATGGAGTAATGAAAATGCTTTTACGAAGTGTATTTTTTAGTATTAGTTTTCTTTCTTCTCCTCTGCTTCTTCCACAAGCCGCGCCAGGCCGGTGATGTGTTCTCTTCGTGCTCTCTTCTTCCTTAGTTCATTTTTTAAACGCTTTGTAGCTACTGTACTAGTTCTATTGTTAGTAGGATGATTATTGAGTGTTTGATCAGAAAAACGATATACGTAATTATAAAAAAAAATAAATCAAATTTACAATACATTTGCCTGTTGTAATAAAATAATTTCTCTTAAACGCCGCAGCCGCCATATTGGAAAACAAATCTCTCTCTCTTATACGAATGTCGATTTTGAATGGACATGACATTTCAATTACAATTTTTCAATCCTAAATGAAATGGGGATGTGTGTGCAGGTGTGGGTGTGGGTGGTGTGTGTCAGTAGTGTCTTCTCTTCTTTTCTTCTTTCTTCTTCTTCCGACTAGTTTATACGAAGTTTCAGCTTGATCGCGATTTTACTTGTAAAAAACCTGATTAGTGAGCGCCACGCATAAACTAAAATTGCTTTTGTTTTCATCATATATTTCTATATATATGTATTATTTTTATTTTCCATTTTCTGCATAGCTGTTTCGTGTTGTTGTTTTGTTGCTTTTGGCTTTTCATGGCGGCTACAATTTGTTTTAGAAATTTGTTTCTTGTATTTGTCTGTGATATATGTAATTTATTAGTTTTTCATTTTGGTAACCTGCTCCAGAGCCGCCTGCTAGCTAGCTAGTCCTTCTAGTACACCATTGCCGCCGCGAACAATCCCAGATCAGTCACCAAAATGTGTTTAAAATTTGAGGAACTCCTCGCTTAGGCCAGTGTCGGGAACTGGCGCTCATCGTTCACCTTGGGGGCGGCATTCTGTTGCCGCTCATTGCCGAAACGCTTGGCGCCACCGCCCAAACCGCCAGCACCACCACCACTGTTGTTGGCTCCCGGACCGCGACGCTCGATTGGCGGCCGGTTGTTTGTTGGTGCCGATGTGGCACCACCAGCAGCAGCTCCTTCCTCAATGTTCTGGCGAGGACCCGATGGCGGGCCATCACGGGGTCCATCACGTGGTCCGCCACGATTGCCGCCCTCAGGACGGGGTCCATCGCGACCAATACCGCCGCCGACACGTGGTCCGCCGCGACCACCGCGTCCGCCAAAGCCGCCTGGACCGCGACGACCGTCATTGAAGTTAAACTGGATATTGAGAACGCGCTGCTGGCGGCCAACGCGCTGTGGGTACATGGCAGGGTCGTATTCAAGTTCCTCTTCGCTCTCATTTTCCTTCTTTTTGTTGCTGGTCAGTACGACCATCTTCTTCCACTGCGATGTGTCCTCACCTGAGAAAATACACACAAGGTTTCAATTAGTATTCGATTATTCCATCCCCCTGCAGGAGGGCTAGGAAGCTATCATATGTTACGCACCTTCTCCGGCCTTGCGTATATTGAAGGTGGGCTTAGTGCGCTGCCCCTGCTGTGCCTTCCACTCGTCCAATGTCAGCTCTTTGGTCTCTTCCTCGGCGGCTGCCTGCTGCTCGCTCTGCTGTTCATTTCCAGACTCGTTGGCCTTGTTTTCTCCATCGGCATTGTTCACACTTGTCTCGCTTTCGTTCTTGTTCACATCATCAATGGCCTCCTTGACCGAACCCCAGTTGTGGGCGCCAGCTCCATCGCGCTTATCAATTGCCTTAACACCTGCGAAATGTAAAACAAAAAATTCATTAATAACATTTTCGTATTTATTTATAGAAGGCGAAGGAATTAAGGTTTTTTCCCGAAGGAAGCCCAAAGCAGATCGCAAAGTAAGTTGTTTTACTGTATTCTTATGACTTTTTACTAATTTTTGTTGTTTTTATTTATCTTACAGAAGAAGCATTCAGAAGCCTTCAACTGGTTGATTTTTGTTTTTTGGTAAGTGAAAGGAAATATTCAAAACCTATATATACAGCTAAAGTTATTTGATTCTGTCAAGTCCGATTCCCTTCTGTTATATACTTGTAATTCCATGGCGACTGCCCTAATTGGGACCCCCATCAGCTGGCCCTCAAATATTTACTACCTTCACCTTTGCCTATTGATAGATAAGCGCCAGCACACGATTGTGTGCTGTAAAATCAGATTATACGGAATAAAACACTTGCTCTGCAGAGGTATTCATGTTTGCTCTGAAACAAAATGGGCCTCCTACAATCATATACTTGTGAACGTAAAACGCCGCCAGAAAGACGCGCAAACTATTTTTAACACATTTTCACATTTTCCACTTGGCGTCTGAGGCAGGCGGTGAGATTTTTCTCTGCTCTTTGCTTTGCTTGAACTTTTTGGGATTTTAATTTTGGATATTCCAAAAATGAATAGTGAAATAGTGAAAGAAAGATGAGGCGGCGCGGGTATGAGGTTATATAGAAATTTGTATGTTTTCCGATTAATATTGATTTGGCTTGATCCAACGAAAATCCCACCACCACGTGAGCAAAAGATTTATTTCGTCGTTTCCGCGTGTCTCTCATGATGTTTTTGTGTCTTAATTGGTTTACACTTGGCGAAAATTTGTTGAATATTGTAATTTTTACCTAAAATTTTATGATTCATATTTCAATAGTACCCTTTCTTTGAATCAAGAAACAGATTGTCATGATCATGATAATTGAATAGGTATAAGCATTGGAATGTCTGTTTGGTTACCAAAACCCCCCTCCCCCACGCCTTTGCGCCCGCCTGCTGATTTTGTTTTTGGTTGTCATGGAAAAAATGTTTTTTTTTTTCGTACAAAATTTTCATATTCGGTTTTCTGGTGGGCGGGCATTTTGTTTGTGGTTATGTCCGTCTGCCATGCCATGATGTGTTCCCCTGCACCCGCTACCGCTACAGCTCCCAATCGTCCATTGGCTACTACACTCACCAGTTTTGTCGGATCCAGACTGACGATCGAATTCCCGCTTCCTGTTCTGTCCATCAAAGTTGCGGTTCTGGCGAGGTGGGCGATCACCGCCAGCTCCACTGTTACCCTGGCCGCGATACGGACGGGGCTGACCATCGGGAGGTCCACCAGGGCCATTCTCACGGACATTGCGACGGTTGTTGCGCTGCTCACGTGTTTCGTAGTTGCCATTTCCATTTCCATCGCGCACGCCACCACCATTCTGTTGACGGAAGTTCACGTTGCGCTCACGCTGCTGGCCCTGTCCGCGTTGTTCCCGCTCCTGTCCCTGCCCTTGACCGGTGCCGAATTCACGTGTTCTGTTGCCAAAGCCGCCGCCGCCTGGACGGGGAGCACCACCGCCGCCGCTGCCGCCTTGCTTGTAACCGCCGCTGCTGTTGTCTTTGTTGAACTGTTTGTCCGTGGTAGTAGCGGGCTTCTTGCCTTCGTTGTTGTTGTTATTTTTGTTGAGAGCATTTGGCTTGTTCTCCTTTTCGGCCTGATTTGGTTTCTTAGCGTTTGGTCCTCCGCCAGCGGCTGCTGTCTTGGCCACCTTGACGGCGCCACTCTTGGTGGCTGCCGATGCGGCGGCAGCACCGCCCGCGGCAGGCTGTGGCTGCTTCTTCTTGCTGGCTGCTGTTGCGGCTGCTACGGCAGCGGTCGCCGCCACAAGATTATCTAATGGTTCGGAAACATCATCGTCCATGAACAAGAGTTCATAACGATTTTTACCGGCGCTATCCATGATTTGAGGTTTCTGTGGCTCTTGGCTGCTTTGCTTGCCTGCAAAAGAATTTTTACACAGTTTTAAATTGATTTTTCTTTCCTTCACACCCTCTCCACACACACACGACGCACGATGATTTATGCAAACGAGAGTTGAGGTTTTCTGTCACACAATGGAAATTGGAATCGAATCGAATGTCGCTTGTGCGCACGGAAAACTAGATGTTTTTCATTTGCACAATATATTTTGTGTGCTGCTGGTGCGTGTGGAATGAATTTTGTGTTTTTTATTTTAATTTTGCCTCGCTTTGCGCGGAATTTTCCTTACTTTTCTCGCTGGCTGTTGGTGGCTGCTGCTCTCTAACCTTAATTTTCAGCGTTTCTTCGCCTCGCTGCTAGTATTACCTACACATACACGCTAACGACTGCACACGCACATGGCCTGCTCACGCATACAGTTAAGCAAGCCCACATGTGTTCTTGGTATACATAGAAAAACAGAAACTCACGTTTTTGCTGCTCTCGTCACCGGGTGAATGGCAAACAATCGACCAGTTGTCAGATAGAAGCAGGTTTGCTGGCAACTCTCTCGAATACTATTGAGGTGGCAGCCCTACACAGTCGACACAATTAAAAACTTAATTGAAGATTTGGATGCCATCAATTGGGATAAGCTGAAAATAAACATAAAAGGAAAATATTAAATTAAATTAAATACATTAAATTGATTTAATTGTGCATATAGGTTGAAAGATTGGGTAGATAGTAAAAACCATTTCGAGTTAAGGGATTATCGACAATCGGTTATCGGCAATTTTTTCAGTGGCGGCAGCGTACTTTTAAGCAAATTATACACTTTGTTTCTTCTAAATATTAATGAACATTGAAAGAAAGAAAAGAACAAGGTAACCTGCTAGTTGAATTATGTGTTTGGTCGAAAAAATAATTAAATACTGTGCTCTGATCAATGAAATCGGTTATCGACTGTTTTGTATTTGGCGCCACTTTTAAATTCTTGAACGTGTTACTTTTAAAACGATTTCCTAGATATTCCTTTGAGAAGATCTACTTTTAATTATATTAAATGTAAAGAAAACTGCTTATGATTTTGATATTAACTTTTACATTTTTGTATTTCAGATAACTTTAAAAAAACTTGAATTTTTCGAAAATGTCAGACTGGAGCGAAGAGGTACATAATTGTCTTACACATAAGCATTTTGAAATTTTCCAATTTCTAATGAATCACTCTCCAGGAAGTCGATTCGAATAAAGGAACAAAAGCGAAGGAGGTAGATGGTTGGAGCGACGAGGAGACTCCACAGACAACCGCAAGCCGTGGAGGAGGCCCCGATGGGGTCGATCGCGGCAGTTACCGCGGAGGACGTGCCGGAGGAGACGGTGGCTATAGACGTCGCTATGACGCTGAAGATGGTAAAGATCTATAATTTTTTGTTGCATTTCCTGGTTTAGATAATCACGATATAAGCTATGTGTGTGTTTTTTTTGTAATGTAGTTTTTTTTCGTTGTCCTCCGACTGTCCCCCATGCTCGGTAGGGATCTCTTTCTCTTCACATTGCTGCCAATCAGCCAATCGAGTGCAGATGAAGATACCTCCTAGCTGGGACAGGGATGTGGTGATCTACTTCCTCGATAACCTCGATCTGCGAGCATACACCACAATGCCGAAGGTGCGCGAGCTTCGCGATTACTTGTTCACAGCATTTAAAGCGCTGGTGACCAGCGAATGGAATGCTCTGCAGCGTCATGATCGCGAGGAGAAGGAGAAACAGATTCAGGAAACGGCAGTCAGGTCACAGCGCATTATAGAGGAAATCGAGCAAATGCTAAATGAGACGGAATCTGGTGAAAGGCAGAATGAGAATATGTTTAGACAGCTCCAGGAAATGCACATGCAAAACAGGGCAAATTTGGGCGAGTTGTATGATGATTTTGATCACTTTGTGGTGCCCAGGTATCGTCACAGCAGAGCAATGCAAATGCGTGGCAGAGGACGCAGACGTCGTAGAACTGCGTCCCCATCCTCTGAGGAAGCTGAACAAATTCGACACTTCGTAGATCTCTACAGAAACGGCCGTAACTTGAATAGGGAGAACCAAGGAGCTGTACTCCCACATGAATCAGAAGATGAGGCAGCAGCACTTCCTTCCACTTTTGACGCGACGAGATTTCCCCACTGGTTCAGTGATAACTATATGCAGGAGCACAGGATGGTGATGGCGTTGAACTTTGGTTCAATAAGACAGCTGAAAGATCGTATGCCACAACCACCACGCGAACTACAGATGCCATGGGCTTGGCAGGAACTCGAATTGCCGGATGTGGTATCTCACGTGGGGGCAAATAGAGCAGTTGAGCAAATGGAGCAGCGGGTGCGGCAGGAACTGCGGGAACAGGAGCTGAGGGAACTGCAGGAACAGGAGCTGCAGGAGCTGCAAGCAGATGGGTACGGCGGCGGCTACTCGAGCACGCAGGCCAGCGGACTGCAGATCAATGTGGCGCGTGAGCTACAGTCGCAGCACCACCAGGACACCCCCGATGGAGCCTACTTCAGTCGCAACGTGTCGACGCACGACGATGATACAGGCGGTCCACGTGTGGCCGCAACATCCACACCACTAACAAATAACATCCACGACGGGTACGCCTATCTCATCTTTTCTATCCTCTTGGATTGTTTTCCCGCTTACCTTCTATACGGGGGATCCTCTGGAGTAGCCTTCGATGCGATCAGATCTTGCACAACGCAGGAACGAACGGAGAACGTTTAGAAAAGCATGAAAACACAATTTAGTCAATTCAATTAAATTTTATCTTTTTTTTAAAACATTTTCTCAGAGAAAATACAACGACTGTTACGTGCTTTTCATTAAGTTAAAAGTCTAAATCGCAGGCCTACTACGTTAATGCCTTGTACATCATTTTTTTTTTAAATTGAATTTTAGCATGGTTCTGTCATGTGTATTTGGTACATCGTTCGATGATAGAGAGAGAGATTACCCCACTTTTTTGTTTCAGACAAACCACTGACTTCCGTCTATCTTTCTGTGAAGAATCTAGCTTCCGTTGCTTTCCGAATCTGATTCAATTAAGATGTACCATTCTGTTAATGTATGTACGTTCCGCAGCTTGACATTTATTCCGAGATCGTCGAGTCTGCTGCTCGATGAGGATAGAACTCCTCTTATGATGCCCGGATCCGAGGGTGCACTCTCGTTGCCACCGGAGTGTTCATTGGAGGCGGAGTTTCCGATGCCATCACAAATGGTGGACAGCGGCAATGGACAGACGATGGAGGTGGAGGACAGCGGTTCCACGATGGTACGCTCTCGACTTGGAGCCACACCATTTCGTCCGTTTCTGCCAGTGATCGACGAGGAGCAGCAGGTGCAACAGCGTAACCTCACCATGTTGCCGCGTGTGCTGGAGATGTCGTTGGATTCGCCATTAGCAGCAGTAGAACGAGCAGCTGAAGGCACACCGGAAGCAGTGGCTGAAGGTACAGTGGAAGCGTTACCAGAAGGCACTCCAGGAGCGGTAGCAGTGGCCTCGCCGACTTCTCCACGTGAATGGAGTGCGGTATTTCGAACACGCGGACAAATAACGACGAACTACTATGAAACGCCACCTCCACGACCACCAAAAAGGGTACGTCGAGCAATTCCAGCATCAGTGGATATAGAACGTCGAGCAGATCCAGCATCAGAGGACATAGGACATCGAGCAGATCCAGCATCAGAAGACATACGACCTCAAGAAAATCCAGAGCACATACAGGGTGAACTGCCGCGTGTCAATGATGAGATTACAATGAGTTTTATGGCCACTTTACTACAAGAGGCGACAGACGTGATCGCACATTCTCTACAGATGATTACGATGCCAGAAGTGCAGGAACAGCCCCAGCAAGTAGCGCCGCCACTACCGCCAGATGAAGCTCTGGTAGATCCTCCCGTTCTTCCAGAAATCTTAAACGAATCATTGCCCAATATATCGGAGAGCGCAGTACCGAATATAGAAATAATGGATCCCCTTCCGGTGGTACAGGTGTTACAGCCCACAATCCCCTCCTTAGCCGACTTAAGTGATCACGCTGTCGTCACTGATGTGCAAATTCTGCCACCATTAAATCTGGACAGAGCCAAAGAACAGTCAAGAGGATCAGCAGGATGTCCAGCCATAGATCAAACGGGAGGATCCGAAGATCGGAGTGAGGAAATAACAGTCGTGCAAGCGTCGTCTTTGCAGCAGAACGTGGCCACCGAGGATCGTTTGCATCAACAACTCATGGAAAATGTAGCTTTCATATTCGAGCACAAGGACATGCTCCGGCTGATGGTCGATCATCAGAAGCATCTCAGCGATCACCACCAGTGCACCGCAGAAGAGAGCAGCAGCAGTGGTACAAAGACAAATTATCGCTGCCTCCCCGCTGTGCAGACCTACGATTTCGATATTATTTTGAATATGCCACGGTCAAAGCTGCAACTTGTCCATGGTCTGATGGAGGCGCTCATCACGTTGCCACAGGTGGATCTGCAGAATGCATCGTTCATCAGGAACCGCCTAGATGCGGCGAATGCCTTTCGCTATGTCCTGGACTTGAAGACGGCAGGCATTGTGACGCTATGCGACGATGGGAGATTCTTTTCGTTGAATTAATCGGTCTCATTCATTATCAGTATTTTTGAATATTTATATTTCATAAATATATAATTAGTTTTTAAGTTTTAAACCACATTTGACTACAATGAATTTAATAATTTTATTGAAGAATTTATTTCAATTTGATTAAGAGATTATATTATATCTTCAATTTTAAAAAATATCCTTTCAATATTGAATGGAAATATTTATAATTTTATTACTTGTTAATCTTTTAATAGAATTCATCAGGCTTTAGGCTTTAAAAAAAAAAATTGCAGTCTTACAATGAAATATGGACAGCTTTGAATATTTATATTATATAACAATATAGTTTTTGTTTAATGTTTATTTTCTGTGTTTTTATCAACCATTGTGTCCTCTTTAATGTTATTAAAACTATAAAAAGTGTGATGTCTTATTTCTTAAATTATTCTGTTTTTCTTCGGTTGTGTAAATTTGAAATTTAATATTTACTAAAAATGTATTTGTAATTCAGGCGAAGGACGCCGTGGAGGCTTTAATCGCGACCGTGGAGATCGCGGCGACGGCGAAGAACGCGGAGAACGGAAAGAACGTCGTCGCAAAGATGACGATGAGGACGATCTGAATAACAACAAGGACGGAGAAGATGCCGAGAAAAAGCGGGAGTTTTATATCCCGCCAGAACCATCCACCGATGAAGCCGAGATTTTCAGCACTGGCATCTCATCGGGCATCAATTTTTCGAAGTATGATAACATTCCTGTGAAGGTAAGTCTCTCGACAGTCATTTTAAAATTCCGAATTGATACTAAATTGAATTGATATTTCAATAGGTAAGCGGCGATAATCCACCAGCTGCCATAAAGAAGTTCGAAGATGCTAAATTGAGGGATATTATCGCGGCAAATGTGACGAAATCGGGCTATAAGTTGGCCACGCCCATTCAAAAGGTCGCCATACCGGTGATTGCCGCTGGCCGTGACCTGATGGCCTGTGCCCAGACTGGTTCTGGCAAGACGGCCGCCTTCCTCTTGCCGATACTCAACTTATTGTTGAACGATGCCGTCGATCTGGAGATTGGCAAGCCACAGGCTGTGATCGTATCGCCCACTCGCGAGTTGGCCATTCAGATCTATCACGAGGCTAGGAAGTTCAGTCACGAGTCGTATTTGAAGATCAGCATTTTGTATGGCGGCACTTCGGTCAAGTACCAGAACGAGTCGATTATGATGGGATGCCATCTGCTGATTGCCACCCCAGGGCGTCTGCTTGATTTTGTGGAGCGTGCTTTCATCACTTTCGACGATACCCGTTTCCTTGTCATGGACGAGGCCGATCGCATGCTGGACATGGGGTTCTCGGAAAGCATGCGCAAGATTGTCACTCACTGCACAATGCGCGCCCAGCATCAGACCTTGATGTTTTCGGCCACATTCCCCCAGGAGATCCAGCGCATGGCTGGCGAGTTTCTCAACAACTATATTTTTGTAACTATTGGCGTTGTTGGCGGTGCTTGTTCTGATGTCAAGCAGACAATCCATGAGGTCACAAAGTACAACAAGCGCCGCAAATTAATTGTAAGCACTGACCCTAGTCCATACCATTGAATCACCCCTCCCTAAATAATTGATTAATTTTATAGGACATTTTGAAAGAAAGCGCCGATGGCACCATTGTCTTCGTTGAGACCAAACGTGGCGCAGATTTTCTGGCCTCGTATTTGTCGGAAGCCGAGCATCCCACAACTTCGATTCATGGCGATCGACTACAGAGTCAGCGCGAGCAGGCTCTGCGCGACTTTAAGACTGGCAAGATGAAAGTGCTCATTGCCACATCGGTTGCTTCTCGTGGTCTAGGTAATCTATAAATTTAAATGAATATTCAGATAATTTACGTTCCATTTTGATGCATTTCTGATCAGATATTAAGAACGTCAAGCATGTCGTTAACTACGATATGCCCAAGACCATTGATGACTATGTTCATCGTATTGGGCGCACCGGTCGTGTGGGAAATAATGGTCGGGCCACTTCGTTCTTTGATCCCGATCAGGATTCGGCCTTGGCCTCAGATCTGGTTAAAATTCTTGAGGGATCTGACCAGGTAGTGCCAGGATTTCTACGCGTTTTGAGTGGTGGCGGTGGCCATGGCGGTTGCGGGTCCCAGTTTGGTGGCTATGATGTTCGCGGAAGTGTAAGTTTTAAATATTAAACAATTACATAATAGCTTTATATTGTTTTACTAATTATGATCCATTTTCTGCACTGCACAAACAGGGCAATGTCATCCAGGAAGCTTCAGCTGTAGAAGATGAACAGGAATGGGACTAGGCCGCTCTGACTAAAAAGAAAAACCATTGACTAAAATAAGGCTTATATATAGAAGTAAAATATATATGTACATATATATATGTATATATATATATATGAAGCCTTTATAAACATCAATTGCCTTGCATAAGTTGGCACATTTTCAAATAAAAGAATAATTCATATATGATCAATAATGTACATTTTTATATATTCTGTTGCTAGAAAACAATTCTATTTCGATTTAAGCAAAGAGAGAAAAGTGGAGGTAATGAACTGCACATGATGTTGTGGATTGAGCACTTCTCTTCTCTCCTTGCATAAATATCCCTAAATATCTTGTTATTTTTAGATTATAACAAAGCTATTTTATTCTATTGGAATTTGTTGAAGCTATGTTTGATATAAATATTGAGAGATGTCTTAAGTATTATAGAATATTCTGTTTTAACTAATACTAGCTAATCCACTTGAACACAAATGTATACCCCTATTAGAATATTCTGTTCGTGCTTATCCCGTTGTGAAAATTATTTACATTTTGTTTAAATCATGCAAGTGTATTGTATCATTGCTCTTGGTGTTGGCTTTCTATCGTAGTACTTTAATATCCTATAATCAAAGTTCTAATCAGTAGCGCTAGTTCTACATCTAGCCAGAACTATCCATCGACGAAAGATTTTCAGCATCGGCAGTTCATCGGGCAACAACTCTTCCAAGTACTACAATATTCCAGTCAAGGTAAGTCTGTCAATAGAGATTTAAAATAGCAGGAAAAATACTAATTTGTATCGAACTTTTAATAGATAATCGGCGACCCAAAACGAGATGCCAACGTGAAGAAACAAGAACAGAGATGTGAAAGCTACAAGGTTGTGAGTCCATTCAAAAGACCGTGACAATAATCAGTAATCAAATAATAAGTTAAGGCACCAAAATTAGTTGTGGATTAGATTCCTTAAGAGGCTTTCCTCCATCTGTTGCGAAAATGTCATTCAAAACGACATACCCTTCGAGTTCTCCCTTTGTACCGAGTATAATCATATGTTTGTCTTTATGGACTCATCCTTTATGTTTCATGTTTGTTGTTTGTCTCTCCGCCTGTGTTTGCCATTACTCTCTCTCTCTCTCTCTCTCTCTCTCTCTTTGGCTCTCTTTTACGGCTTGAAGCCGGCTTTTTGGATTGCTTCGTCTGGCCTCGCCCTGCGTCTGCGAATCTTCGTCCCTCCCACCCCCACAAACAAAAGCTACGTTTCTGCGTTTTCTGTCTTTGCGACACACGCACAGCCGAGACAAAATCAATAAATGACTAAAGCCACCACGCCTTTGGCTGCTCTTCGTGGTGGGATTCACGCTGCCTCGGACATGTGAAGGCAGATGGTTTCAGTCTCTGACGGCATTTCCCAGCGTGCAAACACGCGCTTTCGGCGCGCTTTCCAACTAAATTCCAACAAAAACAAAGAAAAGTAATATTAAACAGTTGATAAATGAAACGAAATAGTATAATTTCAATATGACCGAAAGATAGAATGGCTTTCTGCCTGAGAGCATGCTAGCCAAATGAATAGTTTCAGCCATTTGGCTTTGTGCATTAACTATTATAAGTGTCTGGTGTTTTTGGTGATTGTTTAACCTAAATGCAAGAAGCGATTATGAAATAAGCAAACAGTTTCCAATGTTGTTTTCGTTGTTCGCCTGAAGGGGCCCAAAAGGTACTTCAGCTGTGAGGAAAAACTACGCGTAGTAGTTGTACGCACTTTGGACTGTTGGATGGGTTTTTTTTTTTTGGGGAGAGTCCTCGTCATTGTCGCTGAGGGTAATGACTGAACCCACCCTTTATCAGGCATCGACCAACCCACTTTTACTAGCCATCAAAGTCTTTGCCGGCAAAGTCTTTGCACTTATTTCTCTTTTTACATATTTTTCCTTTGTCGATTGCGTGTTGGATTTTTCTTGGCACGCAAACCGAATTTTGCATTCGTTTTTAAAGATTTATTATAATTTGTAAACAGCATGGAGTTTTCTCCGACTAAACTTTCGGTTTCGGGCGCTCAGCTGATTAATGAATGTAACCTTTTGACCCATTCAGCGGACTAGTTAACACGCAAAAAGTTTATCCCCAGACAAATTTAATAACATTTAATTGAAAGCGTCAGAACGAAAACAAATTAAACATCCCACAGCCAAAAACTACACAAAAATTGAGTCAAAACAAATCAACGAAATAGATTTTGGCACAGTATGAGCCAAAGTTTTGATAGTTCACATGGAGGAGGAGGACCTGGAGTTGGTTATCCAGAGCGTCAGTCCTCGGAGGATGTGCCCGAATCTACAGCCACAGCAACGACAAGAACAGGAACACCAACAACAACAGCCGGAGATGCCCGACAAGGAGCCGGAGGAGAGGATGATTTCACCGATGACAACAATTTCGAATCGAATTTGCGACGTCGCAAAGGCAAAATAATATCCTGTGCCAAGGAGACCATCGAGAATGGTGAGTAGTGCCAAAGACAAGACAACAAATATTCCCTTACCAATGTCTACTTTTTGTAGTATATATATACATATATATGCTTCTATCCTACCAATATCTATTTGTATATGCTTGGCATGTGTAAGCAGATGAATATTTGAGTGGCAATTGCTTTCAGCCATCCACAGAGCAGAGCAGACGAAGAAGAACTGCCAGAACCTATTCATTTGTCATGGATAGAAAATAGAAAATTGCATAGGTAGAGGTAGAGGTAGAGGGATAGGTGGAATGAAGGCGTGTGCGTGCACCTGCTACATGCTACTGGGCGCGTTGGGTCCTGCCATATCCGTTATATGGTTTTTTTCCTTTCTTTAATCAAAACGCTTGACTAGCTTGAAACATTGATTGGATCTGAGTTCGCTTCCAGCACACGAACTTTCAACATTTCCGTTTTTATATTTAAAGTTTTCTCAACTTTAAAGGCAGAGCCAGTGGCAACCGTTTAGAAGAAATTTTTTCTTATATGAATTATTAATATTTCATATGTGAGAGAGCGGTTTATGGTCTTGAAATGTAGTTTGGAGGAGTGGCGTTTTCTTGTGTATAAGGAAAGTTTCGATAGTTTCATTCAGGCAGTACACGTATGAGTCGAAAAAGGTACGATAGGGTATATGATACCTTTTCTGGATAATTACATATATTCCTTATGCTAAATAAATTCTTAATTAAGAGTTAAATTCTAGTACTATGTGAGATATTAAGCTGGAGAGGCATTCATTTTAAAAAACATTAACTAGTTCTTGTGAGGATGAAACTAGATTAAAGATTTTAGGTCTGAAACGTTTTTCAATATACTAAATAGACTTTCATTCATAAAACTATTATAGTAAATGATATATCAATCAAGTTTCTTTTAAATAGAGACTAAATTTCGTTAAAATATTTAAGATCTATTACCGTATCGCTGTTACAAGTTGCCGGAAAAGGAAACCTATTTAACCACAATTTAATATTCCACATAAATATGTATTATTGGAACAACAACCTCTAGTTGACCCACTCGATCCATTCGAAATTAACTTTTAAAGGGATATCCAACTCAACAAGGCGAAACTCCTGGTCTTTTTACTCTTTTGCATTTCTTGCACGAACCAACTATCAAATTACCCTAAAATGACTTTCAGATTGTCGTACTTCCTGTTCTGTTGTGGCAGAGTCGTCGGGCTCCAGTTGTTGCTGTCAACATTAGACAAATAAAACTAACTTTGCCATTGGATCCCCTTACTGTTTTGTCTGTGTGATGGAGGAGAAGACGCTCCATCGCCATTGTCCCAGTGGAGTCTTTTGTGCTGTTGAAAAGCTATTGAAAGGCGTCGTCTAAAGAAGAAGGAAGGCGCACTTTGAATTATTTATGTAGCCGTCGACAAAGAAAATGCGTTTCAAGCGCTGCATTTGCCCCTAGCCGCTGCTGCTGCTGCTCCGAATGAGGGTGTAATATAGGGGTCTCTATTCCCTTTGGTTGGTCTTTAATTGATTGGGCTGGGCGTCTGGCTGACGGGGCGTTAAAGGAACTTTGTTGCGCAGAGGCTTCTTTCATTGTCTTGTCTTGCACTGGTCTATGGGAGCGAAAGCTCGCTTTATTAGGAGCTGAATGAGCAAATGGATTAACTAGTTTAGTTCAAGTGTTCAAGCCCTATTCGAACTGATTGTATCCCAGTTGATGAGGGGGCTGTTAATTAATTTGATTAGCTTTTATGGGTCAAGGTTGTGTTTGTCATCGACTCGAATGTGTTCTGTGCGTGTGGGGGTGGATGAGTGAAGTGTGTCATGTAAATAATATCGTGTGTGCTTTCTCCTATATGGAATTTATGATTAAGGCATTTTTTATTATTATATGCATTACAAGGCTGACAAGGCAGGACAGAATGAAGGAAGGGGTTGGGTTTTTCATGAGAACGCCACATATACATACATGCAGTTGTACATACATATAATCATAGTTGAATGGGGGTTTCATTGGTAAATAATGGCCTGAAGTGTGTGTTTTTTCATGTGGCATTTTTCAACACAAAAATCTAGTATATTACGTAACTATATTTGATTATTGAAATCAAAATAATATGGCTTACTGCTTAAATAATATATTACTCAACGTTGCCTTTTATTATTACTATATGCTATATACTAAAAATCTTCAAAAAAGACAAAAACGGAATATTCCGCTCATTCGAGAGTGCTGATTGGTGCTATGGATGTCAAAATCAACTCAGAGATGAGTCGGATGGTATGTGTTCCAGATCAGGAAAGGTACAAGTATCTGAAACCTCATGGGCATTGATCAGATTCAAACCTGTTCCTTAAATCCAATCGCTCATTCATTTCATGCTTCCGAGTGACAACCTTAACAAGAATAGTTCACAATCACAGCGGGTTTCTATTTAATTATTCACATTGTTTGAATTCATATTTGAACACATTTTTCTTTTCCATTTTTAATATTCTTTGCAAACAACACAACCCATCCACCGTTGAATATTTAACGAATGAACGATCTAACCAAAACTCAATTTCTTTCGCAGGCAGAAGTTACGATTTCTTATTTTCCTTCATCATCTCTCATACATATAATCATCAATCTTGTGTGGAAAATTCTCTCGCAATTTGCCCTAACAAGCTCTCTGTTTCCGCTAGAATTTCTAATAAAATTCCATGGTCTCTCTGCCACTTCGTTAGCCGTGAAAATTGCACAACGATTTTTACAACGTGTTGTGGCATTTTCTAGCTCAAGCTACGGACTCTCACCCTCTGCCATGGCCGCCTGACCCAAACCTGGACCCCAAAACCCAACCCTCTCTATTGGCTCTTCATCGGGCAGGGGGACTCCACTTTGTACGGTGGGTGTTTCAGGAAGTGCGCGGATTTACGTGTTGCCAAAATGGCAGACATGACTTTTAAACTTTACTGACAAACTGGCAGAACCTCTCAAAGAGAGAGAGAGCGAGAGAGTGAGTGACGGTGACGGTGACGTGGCTAACATATAGGAGAGCGTTCTACCACTAAACTACCTTAACAACTGCATTGCGTGCGTTAGAAATTAGATGAAAATTGGCCAAATACTCGGTACCTTCGGAAGCGCCATCGATTTTTGGTCGCGGCTCCTTGTGCATATCGCTTCCATGTCTGGTCGTGTCTGAGTAATGGAATTGAAATAAAACTCCACTCATATCTGTCGTTAGCTTTTGTGGCCCCTACTTCTTTGTCCTGGTCTAGAATCCACCGAACGACCCATTGTCGTACTTTCTGTGTTTCTTGTTTGCTTTTTTCCGTATGATTGTTTGGCTGTCATTTTTATTTGCGATGCCTTCAGGCCACCGACGGGGGAATTTCTGTTCTGTGGCTGCCATCGGCATTGATGGGCGCCACAGCCAGCCATCCACTCATTTCCCCCAGTAATACTTAGTGCTATCCGGGGTATTGTATACAAACACCCTGAATCTGACAGTTAACCCCTTTTTGTGGTGGAGCTTAAGTGGGGAAAATACATTTTTGTGCTTTTAAAATATTGTGGAATATTATTTTTGATTTATTTGGTCAGAAGTTTGTGTTTGGGAATATAATAGTTTAGTTCTTGCATAAAATATTTTCGCTTGTTTTAGAAATGTCAATATTTTTGATCAATTTGTATAGTTTGGGGCGGTTGGTATGTCCAGATAGATAAAAGTTGTGTATTTGCTCATATTTCTTTAATTGTGGTTGTTGAGTAGACATTTTACAGTTCTTACAGGGATCTCTCTATGAAATACGAGTGTGTAAAGAATAGTTTAAGAACTAATTTTTAAACAGTCATTATTTCTCTTTAAATTTAAAGCCGATTAAACGTCTACAGTTTTCCATTCTGTGCATTAATCAGTCATTTAAAATTTATTTAGATTTATTAAATAAGAAGATTGCTCTTAATTCTGTTTCTTGGAGCCAAGAAGAACCTAGAAAGAGCTATTCTAGTATTAGTTTCATAAATACAGTCTGGATAAATCCGTTTTCCCCAGATGTTATTTTTGAGGCTCTTATGGATTTCGCTCTGCCTCAAGTTTTCCTCCTCTGCATATGAGCTCTCTCAACGGTTGAGCCACATCTTTAGTATATTCTTATGTACACACATACATATGTGTTTGTTTTCGCATTTGGATTTCTTTAGAAAGTTGAAACCCTTTTGACCTGTATTCGTATTTTGCGTAGACACAGACCTTCTTGCTTGCACCTTCCATGCCTTGGGACTGTTTGGCTACGTTTTCAATTTCGTTTCAGTAAGCTTTTACCACCAGACCCATTGATCTTGGGGCCCAACATATTTCACTTGGCTTCTGAGACTCGCTTTCTTAAGCCAAACAAAAGCCCCATGTAATGTTTATATAGTCGACTTTTTTATGTTTTTTTTCTATCTCCATATTAATGCCTTTGTCTAAGGGAAAAGCTTTTGGCTCAGCTTGAGGCAAATATGGAACACACAAAAACCCCATAAAAAACATGGATGGAAAAGCTGTATTTGTGTGAGACTTGCAGTTTTTCCTTGCACACTCAAAGCGATGTTTGAAATGAGCGATGCACTTGAATTTTGCGAGTAATTGGGGAAAGAGGACACAGACCCCCAGAGACCCCCAATGGAGATTAAGCCCATGCTGGGGCCCCCCATTATATAGCCATTAGTTTGTCGGCTGCACTTTGGCTTAGCTTCAACGGCAAACTGATTTCGCAAATCAGAAGATTTTAATGGCCTTTTCATTGTTTGTGCTGCTGCATTCTTTATGGCGTTTAAGTGCGCATCCGTTTCCCGTTGAAAAATTGATGGTGGTTCCCAAGGCGAAGCGGAAACCTCTAAAAAAACAGGAGAAAAAGAAAGGACGAAGAAAATTGAGTGTCAAGGGAAACAAAACCTCGTGCTTTTTTCCTATAATTTACACAAAGTGTTTTTCATAAATCATACGGATATATGTATATATAACTTTATATACATTCCCTACCTC